GGGGAATCTTTTGTGACCTCCTGTATGAGTCACTGATGTGGTGTCTATAGACGGGAAGTTGAATCAACTTTTCTGGAAGATCATTCGTATCTCAATGTCTGGATAGTATTGGTGTCGAACGTTTGTTAACCCTAGAACACTAACCTATGGTTTTGTAACAGTATCGCTAATGATGGGTGTATTTTACCTTATGATAAAACATACTTCCCATCAAGAAAGTGCAACAACACACGACAGATTGAAGTATTTTTCTTTTATTTCCTGCTATACAATGTCTCATAAAATTAAAAAAAGGTTTAAAATGAGTGAAAAATTAGGGAATCCTTAACAACAACAAAAATCCTAAAATATTATTAATAATAATTATGATTAAAAAGCAACTGTATTTCGGTTATTTTTTAAATTATCATTATTATTTTCTCAATTGGCTGCAAGTAATTTTAAAATAGTTTTAGTGTTCTAAAACCTTTTAATATATAATTCTCAAGCAGGACACCTAGTACTTGTACCTGTTGATCTTATACCGTAGTATTCGGACCATAAGGTGCACTGGATTATAAGGCGCACTGTCGATGAACAGGTCTGTTTTCATACATAAGGTGCACGGGATTACAAGGCGCATTAAGCAAAACAGTCAGATAAGTCAAACTTTACTCAACTCATTCTTCTTGCTTCCTCCACTTCTGTACCATTGATTCATTAATGTTGAATTCTCTGGCAGCTGCTCTATTCCCATGTTGTTGCAGCACATTTATGACTAACCTTGTATTGTGGATGGATTATCTCAGTTGTTCTCCTGACTGAAGTTTGGTCCGTTTACAGCATCCTGCCATGCGATTGCATTTGTCTCTAACTATCAGGAACCTTAACGTTAACTTTTATAAGTGGAAAAGTGTTAGTGTTCGTCCTCCAGCTTCACTGTTTATGTTATGCTAACATAGCTGTGTCGCTAGCGGTCATGTAGCACATCATTATATACCAACTAGCCCAACTTCAGTAACCCTACAAGCGTCACTGGTGTTTAGTTTCCTGTCTTCATTTATGTTGGAAGTGATAGCAGAGCTGTACGTTTGAATTTTTTCAGAAATCTCTCAGTCAGAACATGCAATATCATGCTTAGGTAACTAGCGAGCTAACTTCCGCTAGTTTCCTGCTAACTTCTAACTCCGTTAAATGTAATACATTTTGTTTTCATGGATGCCTGGAAGTTAAACTTCATAGTTACACCTGGTAAAGCAGCAATGCTGATCGTTTTATTAAAGATGAAGGAATTTAGACAGTTTTTAACTCTCAGTGATGCTGCAGTGTTCGTTTGACCTGAAGTATATGGAGTTTAGGACCCAGATTACTCGCAGATTTAAGAGCATCTTAGTCCGACAAATACGACAATAACGACGGCCGCTTGCATGTTCTGCAAAAAAATGTGCTTTGTCGTGTATCTGACGGACAAACACCAAACCAGTTCCACATCACTGAAGTTTCACCATTTTTACAAACCAATTCT